TGTTGGCCTGTACAATGTATAGGGAACAGTGGGTTTATTTGTTGGGCTAAGAACTTGCTAAAAATGTAACAGCCACAAAAAGCATGCTTTGGGCTGAATAGCAGCACCCGCTCTCTATTTAATAGAATTTGTATGTTCGTGGCTTTTTAACCAGTTTTAAAAAACACTTAAGGAAGTGCAGCACCATTATAAATTTTCAGACCATAGTTCTGTAGACCGAAGATTTTCCTTAGTTTATGAGACAGCTGTATCATTATTGACTATAGCATTGCCATGCTATTTCATGAACCTGATTAAAAATTCCCCCAAAGAATTGTCCTTTCGGTGAGAAGACAGTGACTTCTCTGTGGCCCTTTGACTTTTGGCTGGTCTTCACCTCAAAGTTGTCAAGTAAGAACCACTGAAAATGTGTTGCTTTTGTGCTAGTTATGTGTTTGCTAGAAATACAGTGGAGAGCAGATAGGGACCAGTTATCTGTGTGGGACACTGAGTTCTCCACACAGCTGATCTGTGCTAAACTCTGAAGCACAGCCTTGAGGTGCAGAGCTTCAGGTCCTGTAGAAAATTCTCCTTTTCCCTGGTACTCAAAGGCATACTGAGAAAGCTTGGTTTATGATCACTTGAAAGCCTTAGATACCAGGTGACAGTAAGCTTCTACAGAATCCTTGTTCATCCTTGCATATACAATAGTTTATATTTAATCTAATTTTGATAGAAGAATTAAAAAAAATCCCCCTCAGGCTGGCTCTTTTTCCTCAACTTCACTTTTCAACTAGTGGTGGAAGATAGAGAGGAGATCCTCAGCCCGTAGTTTAACAATGGAATTACTTCTTTGTCAGTGAAATGTTAGCTAGGATGGGGAATTGTTTCCTCACTGAAATTACCATGTTTATCACAGTTCTGCAAAGCTGACTGCTTTTTAGTAGCTCACAGACAAAAGATGCAAACAGCATAAGAAGCCTGAATTTTACTATTTGTTTATCTGTCTTTTGAGCTTCCTTTAATTTGATGCTATCTGACTGCAAAGGAGGTTTTGCAGTTCTTCAGCAGTGATGGTGGGTCAACAGGAAAGCAGGCAAACAATTCTGCTAACTGTCCATCCATGGTGAGCGGTACAGAGAGAAAACAACTTTCAAACCCAGCTTCCAGCTTCCTCTGGGTTTGACGAGAGGGTTCAGAAGGCCCAAAGCAAGAAGTCCTTTTCTTTTCTATATTTTAGTTCCTGCTGTTGAGATGGTGCTTTACGCTGTGGAGGCCTACTTTGGTGTTTGTATGTCATTCGTAGCTCCCCAAAGAGAAGCTCGCAGGGTGGCTGCATCCAGATGGGCCTGCCAAGTAATCCTGGCTGCTCAGCAGGGTGCCACCTTCTGTGGAGTGACATGGGCCTAAAGTGATGAAGAAGGAAAGCAGCGTGAGTCCATCCCAGGAGGTGAAGATGCAAGTCCTTTTCTCTGTATAAATTGTCCTTGAAGGGAAAGTGCAGGTAAAGCTGTATCATGAAGCAGATGTTCGGATCGTGGTGTCAGCTGAAGCACTGCTCTTTTTAAGGTCAGTTTTAACTGTTGGTACAGCCCAAAGGTGCATGTAGCTGTCAATTGTTTCTTTTGAAAATTTGTTCTGCTTTAATAAGTTGGAGAAATTCCTTGTTCTAGCAAAGTCCAGAAATAACAGATGGCTCATATGTCAGGCATCAGCAAATCCTAAAGCTGTGGGCATGACCCCTGTCCATGTCCTGTTGAGAAATCTACCTGCCTTCAGGATTAGGTTGCCCAAGAGTTTGGTGTTTTCTGTAACGAGACCAAAAGTGTAAGTTCCACTTGCTTATAACATACTGTTGTTGGACTTAAAAGCTCTCTTCTGCAAAAGTAATGGAGATTTAATGTGGTTGCTGGTGTTCTTCATTGTGTTTTGGAGAGCATTCAAGCTAAGAAGTTCTAACTTTCTGAATGTTCAGTTGATGAGGCTGGGCAAAGCTGAACTGTGTTTTCTTGAAGCATTTGAGCCTTCATCATCCACACAAGTGGAAGTGCTGTTATTGATTTTGGGTGACAGTGGGATTAAGAACATGTGGCATGAGGTCAACATCTTGTCAGACTGCTATGGACCTGTGTTTCAGGTTAGCACGGAACATGACACCAGATTTTGCTTGAAATGAAACAGGTCCTGCAGGTATTGGGGTAGGTTGTTGTGGTCAAAAACAAGTCAGCCTTTTTTTTTTTAAGTGTCTGCAGCACTGTAGTTCATGACCTAGATGATTATCAGCATGAAACTGCACCTAGCAATAGTATTCTCACCAGTTTTCTTTAAGGTTTCACGCTCATCCAGCATTTCTAAAGAGAGCGTTAAGGCTTTACAGTTGAATATGAGAGGAGGAAGACTCAAGAAAGAACAGCCTCTAATAAGTGGCAGAAGTCAAATGGAGATTATACCTTGTATTTATATAGCATCTTTTAATCTAGAGCGTTCCATGAGTTAGTGAATTTATCGAACTGTTCTGTTCACCACTGCTGCTTCATCATGAGTCACTCCAGCTGGTTATCAGTGCTTAGCCCTGCTGCACAGTAATCAAAGCAAGGGAGTGGAGCTGGGATTCTCATGCTGAGGACCCTGCCAGACTTTCTAGCCAAAGAGTAGGGTAACTATGAAATAACGCTGACAAAGCAGACTGGAGACAAGGTAGACTAATAGGGCTAATGCTATTGCATGTTGCTGACTGCTGAGAGAGGCATGAAGAATTTTGTATCACTTGTGGAGCTGTTGGCATTGCTTCTTTTGATACAGATTTTTCTCACCTAGTCCCATGCTCTGACATGCTGGCTTGATATATCATCTCAGTAATGTGGGAAGACTGGGGAAATTCAGTGAAATGGCTATATTTCAGTACTGTGTCTGTCAATCACAGGCTGGAAAAAAGCAAACAGTGTCTTATCGCTATATGAAACTGAAATTCTTAATGTCCCCATGTATAGACCTGTGCCTCCATCTTAAGGCACTTCATTCCCTTGAACAGTCACGTATTTAACCTGTGTTGAGCACAGGTGTAAATCTTGCTGCATTTCACAGTGGAGAACTATTTCCCCACATTCCAGCAGCAAAGTAGAGATGAGGAGAAACAATAACAGAGAAACTTCAGTTACTGCCTGAGGAGATCTGCCGTACCAATGATGCGTTTAAGATGATGCCATTAAATTAAGTTTATATACATACAAGGAATGAGTTTAGGAGATTGCTGTGGCTATGAAGAAAAATTTAAAACTGGTCATTTAAATGTTTCAATTATTGAGTCTCCTGATGCTCTATTTCATGAGATGACTGCTCTTCTGCAAGTGGATAGAATCCTTTTCCACTTAGAAGAGATCTCAGGGACATCCCATTGAACTGACTGGTCATCTGACATTGGGAGTATTTCATGTTGTAGCAGTAATGGTGATTTCAAGTCACACTGATTGCAAGTGGAGACCAAAAAATTTTTGAGATAGACTAAGTACCTGAATGAAGGTAGCTGGTATCCTTTCTTACCTATGTTATTCTTATTATGCTTTGCATCACTGTTATCAGAACCATCATTTTTAGCTAGTCTAAGCAAAGAGATTAAGAATTGAATTTGTAAGTAAAGCTGCTTTCTTTTTGTGATGGTCTGCTCTTGGCATAGTCAGAGCACATTGACACAGCTGTGTGAGAAGACAGCAGTGGTAGTACTGGTTTGCATCTGTTTGATGACTGGTAGCATCTGTTTGATGATTAGCAAAAGAATTTCAGCTGTTAGAGCTGTCAACCTGACACCTTTGATGAGCACTAAAATAAATCTGTGCTACCAGGAGCTGCTTTTTTTTCATACCTCCCCCTCCTCCCCCCCATGCTTTTGATTGGCTTGACTCTTTGTGTCCTTGCTGACAACTACTCGCAAGGCTAATGCATTATAAACTCTGAAAAGTGAAGCAAGTGGCTGTCATTTTTTGTGCAACAGATGTTCCTGATCAGGAATCAGACAAAGGATCTCATCACTTTTCCTCTGAGCAATTTAATTTGTCTTTTCCATGGCACATGAGCCACCTCCTGTCTAGTGACTGATGTGCCCAAGTCCTACTTCATTTTAGGATCAGTTCCTTTAATCTTGCAGAATTATTAGGTTTTTTTCTGTGCCAGAACAAAGAGAGTGGAAAAAAAGGAAATTGCTTTATTTCTTACGGTGTCACCAATAATGCATCATAATGAAAAGTAGCAAAGGCCTACTTCAAAAATAGGAAACCCAAGTACTGCATTTTAAGAGAACTAGAAGGTACTCTATAAGCACTTTTTTGAAGAAATAGCAATTTAGATTTGATGGTGTTTCTTTAGCAATTGTAAAGCTCAGAGGTAGGGATAAGCAGTGTATAATCCATCAGATTCTTGAAAGTTAGTGAGGTGGAAAAATTGATATATTTTTTAAGAAAAGTTGTTTGTTGTGGATCCAGTTCTCCACTCTTTAATCATGCAAGTTGTCCAAAATGAGTAATTACTGGGGTTTTTGCTTGCTTTTCCATTTAGTTTGATAAAACTGTATCGCTGTGCTGCTGTTTTGTAGTGATGGATGGGTACTGCTGGATGTGTAAATTCTGTAGCTACTCTATAGTTAATTTCCCAGTTATTAGTCCAGCACAAGACAGTTGTTTTGCCTATGCACAGCTCCTGACTCTGCCACCTGACTGATCTAGTATACGCAACAGGGGCAGTGATTGCTCACCCTGTGAAGGAAGCTGTAGGCTGTGCCCCGTGTTCCTACCAATATCTGCCAAAGACTTGCTGGAACAGAGAGGCAAGGGAACTTGGTCTTATCTTCTGCATGTGGCCAGCCCTGTGCAGAAACAGCAGCTGCTGCTGCCCATAGAAATGGTAGTGTCCGTGGCCACAGTCACAGCTGTCAGTCCTGACAAATGAGAAAACTGTGTTTCAGGAGCTCATTGTAGTCCATCACTGGTAGAAAGAGAAACCATTCATATGACCTCTTTTCCATTTGGCAGGTTGACAGAACAGAAGTGATTCGAACCTGTATAAATCCCATCTTCTCGAAGCTGTTCACGGTGGACTTCTATTTTGAAGAGGTGCAGCGGTTGCGGTTTGAAGTCCATGACATTAGCAGCAATCACAATGGGCTGAAGGAAGCAGATTTTCTTGGTGGCATGGAGTGCACTCTTGGACAAGTAGGTATCACTGACGGTTTTCCCCCTCATCGCTCATCTTTTGTATATATATGAAATGTATCGCTTTGTTAAGTGACTGACGGGTGAGATTTGTCATTCATGACAAAATTCTTAATCGGTGCTTTGAACAGGATAATTAAGAACTTCTGCTGGTTTGATTTACTGTTGTAGTATAGCTTCAAGTCAGGCAGTGCTATAGGAAACTGAGTGTCAGTCATTGGCCTTGTACAGTAAGAGCCCAGGCTCATTACACCAGTGTTGAGAAATAGACTGATTTGGGAGAAAATTATTGTTCCTAATGTTATATGGGATTTAAAGCAAGTTCCAAGTCCAAGAAACATTTACAAATACACTTTATTCACATAGGGTAGTGCCTGGTGATGTGGCAAATAGAGACATAGGGTTGGATTCATTTCCCTGACTCTCAGTCATCCAAAAGTTAGGTGTCTAGACTAAGTTACTCTTCTGATTTCCATCTTTAGTTCAGTGGAGAGAATCAGACCGTTCCAGCAGTTGATTCATTCCACCTAAGACACCCACCATAGATTAGGATAAATTGTCTTCAGGAGATACCTGTCTTTCTCCATCACTTATCAAGAGAGTCTAGACAGCTGGCTTAGAGTAGATACCTAACTTTTAAGATGACTGAACTTAAGGCTGATGAGTCCTACCCACAGGATTGATATCTAGAGGTTGTCAGAGCCTGGTCTGCAGTGAATTCTATATTGCTGACTGGTAGCGCACTACAGTGTCCTATTTTTAAAAAGGGAAAAAAGGAAGACCCGGGGAACTACAGGCCAATCAGTCTTACCTCTGTGCCTGGCAAGATCATGGAGTGGATCCTCCTGGAAACTATGCTAGGGCATGTGGAAAATAAGATGATGATTGGTGACAGCCAATGTGGCTTCACTAAGGGCAAATTGTGCCTGACAAATCTGGTGGCCTTCTACAACAGGGTTACAGCATTGGTGGATAAGGGAAGAGCAATGGATGTCATCTACCTGGACTTGTGCAAAGCGTTTGATGCTGTACCACACGACATCCTTGTCTCTAAATTGGAGAGACATGGATTTGATGGATGGACCACTTGGTGGATCAGGAATTGGCTGGATGGTCACACTCAAAGTCTTGCGGTCAATGGCTCGATGTCCGAATGGAGAGCAGTGATGAGTGGTGTTCCTCAGGGGTCGTCGGTGTTGGGACCGGCGCTGTTTAACATCTTTGTTGGCAATGTAGACAGTGGGATTGAGTGCACCCTCAGCAAGTTTGCCGATAACAACAAACTGTGTGCTGCGGTCACCACGCTGGAGGGAAGGGATGCCATCCAGAGGGACCTTGACAGGCTTGAGAGGTGGGCCCACGTGAACCTCATGAAGTTCAACAAGGCCAAGTGTGAGGTCCTGCACATGGGTCAGGGCAATCCCAAGCCCAAATACAGGCTGGGGCATGAAGGGATTGAGAGCAGCCCTGCAGAGAAGGGCTAGGGGGTACTGGTGGATGAAAAGCTGGACATGAGCCGACAATGTGCACTGGCAGCCTAGAAAGCCAAGTGTATCCTGGGTTGCACCAAAAGAAGCGAGGCCAGCAGGTCAAGGGAAGGGATTATTCCCCTCTGCTCCGCTCTCATTGAGACCCCACCTGCAGTACTGCGTTCAGCTCTGGGGCCCCCAACATAAGAAAGACATGGACCTGCTCGAGTGAGTCCAGAGGAGGGTCATGAAGATGATCGGGGGGTGGAGCACCTCCCCTGTGAGGACAGGCTGAGAGAGTTGTGATTGTTCAGCCTGGAGAAGGGAAGGCTCCAGGGAGACCTTATAGCAGCCATCCAGTACCTAAAGGGGGCCTACAAGAAAGCCAGGGAGGGACTTTTATCAGGGAGTGTAGTGATAGGACAAGGGGCAATGGCTTTAAACTGAAAGAGGGTAGATTTAGATTAGATGTAAGGAAGAAATTCTTTACTGTGGGGGTGGTGAGGCACTGGAATAGGTTGCCCAGAGAGGTTGTGGATGCCCCATCCCTGGTAGTGTTCAAAGCCAGGCTGGATGGGGCTTTGAGCAACCTGGTCTAGTGGAAGGTGTCCCTGCCCATGGCAGGGGAGTTGGAATTAGATGATCTTTAAGGTCCATTCCAACCCAAACCATTTTATGATTCTATGCCTCTACTGGTAAATACTGTGATTAGCAGCATCCTGGCACGTAGTCAGTTATACCTGGATGTGAAGAGTAGATGCATCAACAGGCATTTTATGTGCCACAGTATTTAAACACAGTAGAACAAATTGTTGTGGATAGATACCTGCTGAGTGCAATTAAGAAAATGTCAATGTGTGAAATAGAGATATTTCCTTGAAGTGGTTTGTTTTGTCCATCATGCTCAAAAGTTGCCCTTTTAAATAAAACAATAGTAGATTATCTCTTGATGAGTTTGAGTGGGAAAAGGCTTAGTGCAAGGTTTTGGGGAGGAATTTTTTGGTGTGTTTTTAAATACTAAAAGTCTGTTCCTGCCACTCAGAAAGGCTCTTTCTACATTCCGGTTTCCCAGCTTCTTCAGAGTGTCCTGGTAATGTGCCAATTTGCAGAATGTTAACAAATATGTTCTGTACAATTGAAATGATAGTCAGATCAAACAAGCCCTAAAATATTAGAGAAGGTACTAAAGTTGAAAGTGCAAATACATTTTCCTCAGTTAGTAGCATCATCTTAAAACATGGTCTGCAATTACATGTGGTTTATAAAATGAAGTTTCTTAAGGAACTTTACATCAAAAGCATGTACCATACTCCAGTGAATTAAGCTGTCCATGCTGTATTACTTAAATAAAGTGGCATTGTTAAATAGTAGGTTAAGATGCATAATTAAAAACTATGCATTTTTAAAATATGTTATTTTTCATTTTACAGTTTATTTCTAAGTAACTGCATAAAAGTAACACCTAATAATACTATTTTTTAACAATTAAGTTGTACAGTCATACTGTAGCTACTTAAGCAAGGAAACTATACTGTGTTGTGCTTGTAACCTCACAAATATTCTGAATCTGAAGCGTATCTGTGAAATTATGGGACGCTTTTTTTTTTAGCAGTGTTGTCCTCTAAAACACAGCAGAGCATGAAACATCCTTTATCCAGACACATTTGTGAAAGAAGTTGTTAAGGTTTTATCTTTGGCTTGGTTTAGGAATATAGCTATAGAAAGAGCAGATGAATTCTAGCAAAGTTAACTTTTCTAGTTTTTACCCTAATTTTAGCTATCTGTGCACAGAATTCCTACCTGGAGGACATTTCTTATCAGAATTGGAGCATGCAACCAACTTGTTCTGATAAAAATCTGTTAATTCTTGAGTTCAAGGCTGAGTCTGGATAATTTCATCCCACATGAAATAACTTTGAGGAAGATATGATTGAGAAACCTGTGTGAGGCTGGAAGCGGAGACTAAACTGTGACAGAACAGTGGGTGTGATCCTAATGAAGAACTGAAATTGGAGGGAAAGTTTAGTGCAATTTACTTGAAATGCCGCGCAAGGAGGTAGCATAGACACCTGGGAATGTGTGCTCTTCCTGTTAAAATCATAAAGTAATTTAAGTCAGAAGGGACCTCTGGAGTCTCTAGTTCAGTCTGCTGCTCTAAGCAGCTTGTTCAGGGGCTTGTCCAGTCCCATTTTGAATGTCTCCAAGCATGGAGGTGTCACAGCCTCTCTGGGCTTTGTCCCATGCTTTGCCACCTTCACAATAGCAATGGCTTCCTGTCCCTAGAGTTTGCCTACCTCTGGCAAGACCAGAGAAAAGTGGAGGTGTAGTGAACCCTCACTCCTGTGTTATGTGGAAACATTTACAAATACTTGTCGTAGCCTTCAAGTGGCAAAAGAAAGTTTGAACTGGCAAACCAGAAGTAAACAAAGCAGGGATGACTTAGCCATAGCTGGTCTTGCTTTGGGAGTAAGGGACTAATAGCATCTGCCCACTAGTTTTCTAGGTCTTCAGTTCACTCTAAATAGTTGCTGTTCTTTGCATAGGCACTGGCAAGCAGATGCACCTATGTATCTTTGAAGTGACAGGTAATGAAATCACAAGCAGTAGCATTTTAACTGCCATTTTGGGGCACCACAGTATAAAGATGACCTCTTGCTTTCATATAGGTGTTTAGGTGCTATGAGTCAGTTCATCCTTGGTTGAGGTTTTACAGATGTTGTCTGTAACTAAGGAGAGTAAATTCTTCCCCTTCCATTTCCGCTTTGTTTTTCCCTTTCCTCATCCCTAAGGAAAGTGTTCAGGCACTCCACTCACCCAGAGTAATCACTTCCAGCTGAATCCCCATCTAATCACTGAAGGTTTTGTATTTCTGTTGCTTTTTAGTTGCTTACAAAAACTATGATTGTTTGTTTCAAGAGGCAGGAGGTGGATTTATTATGTTTTTATATAGTGGGTTGGGTTTTTTTGTTCATCAGAAAACAATGGGGAAAAAAAATCTTAGATGGACAAACACTGTCTGAAATTTGATAGCCTAATTTTCATGGTATTTAGCTGGGATAACAAAACCCCAAACCTAAGTCCTTTTCTGCTTATGTTTTAGTGCCTTCATGTGTTCTGAGCCTCTCTAAAGCTCTCTTATTGGAATTGTTCAGTTATATATTCCATAAACTTTATAAAACATTGAAATTGCATCACTTAGTACAGTAAGGGCTCAAACTTTCTAATAGCCAAAGTTAACTTCTTAACCACACAGGAATTGTATCAGGAAGGTGGCTTATGAACACTTCTTTCCTCTGAAGTTTTACCCAGAAGTCTCAGCCTGATCTTTAAGAATTCATAAAAATTATTTCAATGAATAATCATTTTCTGATGAGAACTAAACAAACTTACATTGCCAAGACATTCTTGATTACTGCTTAGCTCTGCCTGCCACATCATTAAATTATAGGAACCAGTAAAGTTGTTACTTCTTAAATGCTGTGAACCATCCCAGCTCTGCATTATGGGAATAGCCTTTGTGGCTTTTCTTTC